CCCCCCCATTATTCCCTAAATCTCTCAGCCTCAGCGAGGCCAGCCACACTCAGGAAGACATGTGGCACCTAACCAGAGCACAGCTTTTGGTCCAAGGAGCAGTTCATTTCAGGTGATGGACTGACTGGTGAGCACATTTCACACATTCACACCCTGCAGGATCTTACATTTTCCTTGGTGTCCAATGTTGTAAAAGAAGCAGATAAAATATGATCAATTTGTAGAAGGCACCCAACAAATGTTTGTACTTGCACCTTATGCCAGCCTTCCCCCAGCTTCCGTTCCTACCCCCCCTTCACTAAATGCGTTATTGAACACTTTCTTTACACCAGTCATTGTGCTTGGCACTGGTGATAGGAAGGAGTGCAAGACACCGACCCCATGCTAGCGACCTGACAGTCTGAATCAGCGCAGAGGGAGTCAGGTCCTGGTTCCCCCTCCACTTAGTCACAGGCTGTGGGAGCTAGAAAAATGGCATCCCCCTTTCCTCTCCTGTCTAGTCGCTGGATACCAGAGTAGAGATGCACAAAATAAATAGAAACATGATAGAAATTATTTGGTATTTTTAAAAAAGCCATCCAAAAGCCGTTGGACTTCTTGACTATTATTTAACAGTTTTGCATTATTTTACTTTGCCGCCTGTAGGGGGCGGCAATGCGGGGCAAGGACTAGAATCTTTTTAGCGCTTGTGCTGGTCAAGGTTTTAACCTGGTGAGAAATGGGTGTAAGAGGACTCTCAGGAGGCTCGAACTGGGGAGAGCATATGTTAAATCTCCTAATGCACAGTGAATTGGTGCTCAGTAAAAGTGCACAGAATGAAACATACCCTTCCATGGCTTTCTCTTATTCCCCAGCATTTTCATTTGTGTATGGCTGAGACATCTGAATGAATGCTGCAATAAATAAGCTCTTAAGCTTTAAAAAAGATATCCTAAGGCACATGGTGTTCTGACTCAAGTTTTCTGTGAGCTCAGCAAACAGCAGAGTCAAAGATCAAGAACTACTTATTGCTCTTTATTTTCTTCTGAGGGCTATCAAGTGAGGAGGAATCAAAGCCAAGTTATGGGCTTTGGAACCACACGTGTGATATGTGACAGAAGCCGGGGGTTACCCCTTATTGCCCACTGGGACACACTTTGTCTTTCTGTACGAGGAACAGATATCTTTCTGTCATTGACAGAAATTGTCAAAAAGAGATTTGAATTGTGCATGTTTCACTTGCCTGTTGAGGAGCATTGATCACACCGATGTCATATCCAAACTGGAAGGAACCCAGCACAGCAGTGAAGACAGTGAAAACCAGGGTCCCTGTGATCTGTGGGGAATAAAACACAGGGCTGGGAAACACCAGGCGAGTTCAGTTACCCATCTCCTATCACTTTACAGCTTGGACTCCTGACAGGCTCCGCAGGCTGGTTCTTGTCCCCTGATAGTCACAGGAGCATTTTTTCTTTTATTTTTACTATTAGATATTTTATAAGAAAACTATTTCACGTATAATTACATAATTTAAAATTTTTAAGTAAATAACAGATATAGCAGGAACTTTGTTTAATGAATGAATGAATTATAGCCACATGAATTCCAGTTCCCATTCTGATACTTAGTGGGTATGTGATCCAAGCCACTTCCCCAATTGGATCTTCAGTTTTTATCTAAATCCGGGGATGATTGTAAAACTCCTTATTCCAGCACAAAAATAGCTAATTAACCAGGTCTCCTCATTCCCCAAACTGGAGATCAGAAATTTCAGTGTCATCAACGAAGTATTATTGAGGAACTACCCTGAGAGCCCTTGAAGTTAGGCTTGCAGTTCTAAAACCAGACCCTACTTGGAGAGCTTATCATATGTTTAGCTTCCTGGGCCTCAGCCCAGACCTACTACTGAACTGGAATCTCTGGGGTGACAGTTGAGAATCTGTAGGTTTGCTCCCTCTCTTTTCACTAATTCAGAATTAATTGCAGGTGGCACTTTCCCTCCCAGGAACTTCCTTCCTTGAAAGGACTTCAAAGCTGACCCGGGAGATATGATCATATGGTATGTGAATATATATATAAATCCCAAAAGAATACATATAACATACATTATATATATTTAATAGATAAAAATCATATATACATACAATTATTTATAAATATTAATAAAAAATTGTAAATACATTTTAAAGTACCTTATATGTAAAATGTGCATGTACCTATATGCTTGCATGTGTGAGCATGTGCATAGGTGTGCATGCACGCACATAATATGGTATATGATGTATGAGATTCCAGAGACTTTGTATTATCCCGTAAAATGTAATAGACATCTACAACTCAGTTGCTCGAGTGGCCAAAGTTAAGATGGGGTTTCATTTGCTTGGTTGGTAGTTTCTCCTTAAATCCTTCTTCCCCTTCAGCTGTTTCCAAGGACAGGGCTCGTCAGCCCGTTTGCAGGGAGTAACCATCATCAGTGGGGAGGAGACCAGGGAGCACCTGAGCCAGCTGTCACCCCCCTCCCTGATGATATCCATCACTGGAAGCTGGCACTGGTGTTAGGCGCAGTGCAAACACATTAATGTCATCTCATTCATCAGCGCTGCCATCATCATGCGTCACCAATAATCTTCACAATAGGACTACAAAGCCCATGAAGTGATCCCCATTTCACAGGTGAGGAAGCCAGGAAATTTCATGGACAGCAGCAAATACACAGTCAGTAACGGGTATTCTAGTATTGGAACTTAGAGCTGCTGTTATTACATTGACACTGCTAAACAAAAAGAGCAGGTTTTCAGCAGCTGCAGGGAGGAGAAGCGTATACTCTTTCCTCTAGACCACGTGCGTCCAAGTGCCAACCGAAAGGTGATCTTGCACCCACCCTTGGAGTAGGCCAGGGGCCTCTCAAGCCATAGAATTTTCAAGCTGAAAGAGACCTTAGACACCAATGGATTCTAGTCTAATCTCTCAATTTTTCAAGTGAGGAAGCTGAGTCCAAATTCTTTGAGTCACACAGTAATTACTGGGCACATTCAGAGGGAGGGCCCAGGTCTTCTGGCCCTTCCTCTCATGCTCCCCCCACTTCTTTGCAAGTCTGAGTGGATTTAGAAAGCTGAAACATTTTGCTTTACATCAGTTCTCATTTTTTCTGGGTTCCATTATTAGGCAATTTTTCAGTTCTCAAGAAAAGCCCTACGACATAATTTATAAATTGCCCTAAGGGTGTTCAGTGATATTTCTAAATATCACTGCTATGTGCGGGCCAGTGTGGTAAGCACATTTATCTTCCTTTTTGCAGTATCTTCCAAACGTCAGTTATTTGAACACTATCTTCATTATTTTTGCCAAATCTACATACCATCTGTATAGTTATTTACTTAATATTTGTCTTTATATTTTTTTCAAAGTTCTAACTGCTTTAGCTTTATCCTGGGCTATAATAGGAAATAAGATGTACTAATTATTCTTTAAATTTACATTATATAAATACACAACTATTAATATTAAAATGTTTGTCATCTGAGTCTCTCTAATATTATCTCATTTAATTACTCCCAGGTTATAGGAAACTATTATAATTCTTAATATCCTATATTATATCCATATGTTATATCCCAATGTGTTCTTATTTTATCACAATATAGAAAAACCCAAGCTCAGTTAAATAACCCTGGTCTCAGAGCAGGTAAGTAGCTTCACTACACCCCAAACCCAAGCCTGCTGACCACAAAGCCCGTGCACCTAGCCTCATCACTTGCTGACATGAAGAAATACTCAGCAGAGTAAGTTACACCAGATCAGAATGTAGAGGTTTGACTCTAAAGGGGCACTAATTTACCTACTTGCATGATTGTGTATAGGGGTGGAGATATTTAGTGGGGAGAAACTTATAAGGGAGCAACAGTACTATACCTTTTTTATTTTCAACTTTTTATTTTGAAAAGTATTATATCTACAGAGAAGTTAAACGAGTAGTGCTGTGAACACTCCATAACCTTCACCTGTGTTGACCAATGGTTAATACCACATTTGGTTAACTCTCACTGTGCGTGTGTGTTTGTGTGTGTGTATTGTTGTTGTGGCAGAAGCATTTCAAAATAGGCGGAAGATACTTGTGCCACTTCACTCCTAAACACTCCAGCGTGTACTCATTAAGAACAAAGACGTTCTTGGGCGTAATTACAGTGCCATTATCATATCCAAGACTGTACTAGATATACGAATATTATGTAGCATACAGCCCATTTTCAGAATTTCCCACCTGCCCCTATATTGTCCCTTAGAGCTGTTTTCTTCTTCCTTCCATGACCTAAGAACACTTGCTGCATTTGGTTGTCAGTTCTTAGTTTCCTTTCATCCAGAACAGTCCTTCTATACCTCTTGTTTTTCATGCATTGACATTTCTGAAGAGTTCATTCCAGTTTTCATAATTAGTTAGATTCAGGTTAATCCGCCCTTTTTTTTTTTTTTTGCATATTTCTTTAGTAATATGGTTATGCAGAATCACTCAAGAAGTTACAGAGACTAGTCAGAAAACAGAGCAAATATCCTTAAAAGCCTAATCACTGAACAAGAAATTAGGATTTCAGCAGTCAAATGAACTATCCATTGGCCATGAGAAGTAGCCTTGATCTGCGGTAGCTATATCCAGCATCCCCCAAATCCTCCGTACACTCACGGACTTGAACGGCTTCGCCTATTCATTTTCTCAAAGCCGGTTCAAAACGAACATGCTGCTGCTTTACCTGATCTGTCATTTTATGGCTTGGGAGTCCTCCTCTTAACTCCAGGTCCTGTGGTGCGTGTGGCACATGCAGCTGGCCAGCTCCTGCCTGTGTCTCCACCTTTCCAGGACTAGTTATACATTAGAAGAGGAGGAGCGAGGGAAGCCAGGAGTGGACCTAAAAGTCCAAGTTTAATCTTAGCCGAGGCTAAATATTGATGAGAATCGAATCAATAAATGCTCTGCCTCACAGACCTGTGGCTTTAATCCCTTTGTTCCACCAGGAAAGAAAATAGGAGCAGATTCTTTAGGCATAGGTTGCCAGCCAGAGGCGGTCACATTTTAAAGCATGTGTTACGTGTGGCAGTCACAGGGGACAGGTGAAAAGCAGACGTGGTATGCTGGGCTGCCACGGCGCGTCTGGGGGATGACAGACTCAGACGGGGGCGTGGGAGCTGCACTGCACTCTGCCCTGCAGAAAACCGGCCTGGGCTTCAGAGCTGGGCTGTGCGGCCAGAGGCCACGGTAGGCTCAGTGGTTACCTGAGTGGCCTTTGGAGAGTTATGAACTTGGGTTTGAACCTCAACATTTTATTGCTGGTGGTGTGACCTTAAGCCAGTAGCTCATTGAGCCTTTTCCGTGCTTTAGTTTTCTCACCTGATAAAATGAGAATATCAGCACACACATTTTGTTTTGTTGGGTGGTGAAATGTGGTAATATAGGAAAGTGTTTAGCGTAGTGCGTACTAGATGCTCAGTAAATGGTGATGTCACTGTTTTTACTGTTATGATGATTGGTTCCGTGTATGTCAGGAGGCATTTGTTGGAGGCAGTAGAGTTCCAAATAAATCTGCTCACGTTGCTTGAGTTTGTGCCCTTCTCTGTATGACCTGTGTTACCCAATTCCTGTGGGGACCCCAGGTGACGTCAAAGTTGACTGAGCTTGAACTGTGCTTGGTGACTGGTGTCACTGGTTCCACTGAGGTTCAACCATTTCCAAGCAGAGGAAACTGCATGGACAGCAGCAAAATTGAGGGGTTGTGACGGAGAAACAGAAGGTAATATAACGCAGAGGTAAAGGAGACCCGGATTTCATCTGTTTTTAATTTCACTGCCCTCTTTTCATTTGTCACCACACCTGAGTAAATATTTCAATTAAAACCACAAATGCCCAGCTGGGCGAGGCTCAGCAGTTGAGCATCTACCGNTTTTTAATTTCACTGCCCTCTTTTCATTTGTCACCACACCTGAGTAAATATTTCAATTAAAACCACAAATGCCCAGCTGGGCATGGCTCAGCAGTTGAGCATCTACCGAGGATCCAGGCTATTGGGGTTCGATTCCCGGTCAGGGCACATGCCCGGGTTTGGGGCTTGATCCCCAGGAGGTGGCCGATCAATGACTCTCTCATTATTGATGCTTCTATCTCCCTCTCCTTTCCTCTCTCTGAAATCAATCAAGATATATTTAAAAACAAAAACCGCAAACTTGCCCTGGCCGGGTGGCTCAGTTGGTTTGAGCATCGCCTGGACACCAAAAGGTTGTGGGTTCAATTCCCAGTCAGGGCACATACCTAGGTTTTGGGTTCAATCCCCAGTCGGAGGTGGGTGTGTACCGGAGGCAACTGATTGATGTGAGGTCTCACATCTCTGTCTCTCTCTCCTTCCCTCTCTCTAAAACCAACGAAGGGAAAAAAGACAAACCCACAAACTTTGATGGAGCCCAGCACAGTTCCAGGCTCAGAGCTGCAGGCGATAAGACACTTAGGAGCTCCTAATGTAAAGGGAGAAAGGCACATAAACGCAAACATACGAGACAGTAATTTCTTAGCGGAGAAGCATGAACGCCTATTATTAGCAACAAGTTGATCTTTACTGAGCTCTGGCTTGGTGCCAGGCGCTGCTCTCCGCGCTCCCCCTGAATGCATCCACTCGCTCACAGCCCAGGCGCCC